TTAAAAGAATTATTGCCTAAAATGTTTGCCAAAATTAAACAGGCCTACCACCTGACAAAAAAGTTGTTTTCAAAAACTGTCTGCTTATTGCATAGATCTATTTTTCCACTATAAGTTGGAAAAAAATCAGCTAAAAGTATCATTTTTATCAATTGCTAGAGAAACTAATTTGACATTTTTTCTTAGTTACCATATTGCTATGGCAACGGAGTACCATTTTCTATGATAAATCTTAACATTTTGTGTACTTATATTTGAAACATGTAATAACTTCGTTAATGCTTTACTTTGAGAAATAATTTTTTGAGGGGTTTTACCCCTTAATTAGTTATTTTTAAACGTGAATCATCCTTTTTTAATCATCCTTTTTTGAAAGTATACCTATAAATTATTTTCATCGTACTTCAGTTCGTATAGTTTGAAAAAAACCGGGTTTAAATGCACAAACTTAGTCGAATTTTTTTTGTGTAAATTAATATGATTTACACGTTCTGCCTAAGTATGCCTATTGCTCAAAATTGACATATGACATACTTACGTACGTGAAAAACCAGTGAGTTCTTATTTTATATACTCTATCAAAATTATTCATGTAGCCGGCCGAAGACTATAGCAAAGAGCTTAAAAGGAATAAAACTGAACACTTTTTTTTATAATTATTATTATTATTTTTTTTTATAGTGAAATGATTTAAATTTCTTTGTTTTTCTTTTTGTTGAGCTCTATCTGAATATGTAAAAAAAATAAATACAATGATTGAAAGTTTTTTAGTCAAATGAATTTATTTAAATTTTTTTTTTTAATTTTACCCGACAATTTGTTTGAAACTGAACGTGATAAAAATAAAAGTATTGGAAATTTAATTATAACAAAAATAATTATTTTACAAATGGCAAAACAATTAATTTAAAAGAAAAAGAAGATTTTCAAGCTTTGACATTATTTTGTACAATAACATTCTTCACTAGTTTTATATTTTTATGGTAAACATGTTTGACAAACCCAGCTTTTGCAACTTGTACTTTCACCATTTGTGGAATGAAAATGGTTAACCATTAAAAATAATTCAAATCAACTTCATCATCAATATTGAAGTTAGTTTTGCGCTTTTTTTATATTTTGTTTTAATTCTTCAGCTTGTCGTAGCTTTTCTAGAATTTAAGATTTATTTAGGATTCACATTCCACTACTTTTTATGTCAACATTTTTTTTTACTCCCACATATAAATTATGTGGGAAGAGTGAGCTGGTAAACATTTTACTTTATTATTTTCAATGCACTAGTACAACTTGATATGTTAAATGTGTGTTATGACCATCCAATATATGTGTACCTAGAGTTTTTTTTAATTGTTGTACAAATAATTTATTTAGCCGTTGCATAATTTATCTTTCATACATCCTGACGGTAAAGTTGTATATTAAGCGTTTAACGGACCACCTAAACACCAACCGCTGTTTTGACTTAAATATTATAAATGGTGGAATTGTGGCTCCAGCTGCATTGAAGCAATTAGCAACTGTAAAATTTATTTTTTCATTATTACCAATGAGTTTTATTAGACGTTTAGCACCACGTCTGTAAACTTTTCCAGGTCGGCCATTTTTAAATAAACTGGTTAGATTAGTAACTTTTAAATAACCAGCAATAATTTCTATGGTTTGGTTTTGTGTTCTACCAAAACCCGAATCTGATAATTGTTCCAGCTTTTCTACTAATATTAATTTAACCGCACTACTTAGAGTTGATGCTGTACCAGATCTCTACTTAGAGTTGATGCTGTACCAGATCTCTACTTAGAGTTGTTGCTGTACCAGATCTCTACTTAGAGTTGTTGCTGTACCAGACCTTTGCGAATTCGCACGATTTGACAATGTACCTTTAGGAATATTGTATGTTTTGCATAAACTTATTTCACAACTATTTATACTTCCAAATTTATACTTATTTGCTCCTCAAAGTATTTTTTGATATTGTTTTGGCATTTTGAATTGATTTTGATTTTAATTGATTTAGATTGTCACAGGAAATTGTTTTAAGCAAATTATAGTGAAGAATAAGAAATAATGCTAGAAAAAGACAATTATTAATAGAGTTAAAAAGTTAATAATTTAATTAGATGCGAATAACAGCTGTGTGTGAAAATTATTAGTGCTTAGTTTTACCCGAAAAATGACTTTTCTGTAATTCCATTTTAACTCTTTTCAGGAAATAAAAAATTTATTTCCCAAAAAAGATTCGTCCCATAAGGCACGGACGTAAAGAAGACGTCTTTTAAACGTCTTATACACGTTTTGGACGTCTTTTGAACGTTTTGGACGTCTTTTGAACGTTCAAAAGACGTCTTTTTTGGTCCGGTGCCCACTGGGTTAATTAGCGTAACTTTTACTACAAATATAGCTTTAGACTTAAATTGTAGTTTCATTTTATTTCCGAGATTTTTACGTCAGTATTATAAAATTAAAAAAAATTAATACTCATGCACAAACATTTGAGTTTGATATAAAAATTATTAAAATTTTTTTATTTTTATGTCATTAGATAAAGCACAAAATTCTTCAATATTCAAGACCATGATATTACCATAAATTCTAATTAGGAACTAAAATAATTTAAACGAATTTAATCAAAATTAAAAACATTTTTATAAGTGTTCAGTTCTCCGCGCTGCTCAGTTTTATACCTCTTTATTATGAATACCGTTACATTTCTTAACATATATAACATATACATATATAATAAATAATATTTTTATTTTGTATATATGTATTTACCCCATTGCTTTATTTTATGAATAAAGTTACTTATTTATAAAATTTGTATACGCATTCGACACATGAATATCAATAAATAAATAGCACTTCGTTACGTAACAATTAAACTTTTTTGATTCATAAAACATAATTAAATATTTAATTATGTTTCATGAATCAAAAAAGTTTAATTGTGCGGAATAGTCACTTTGGGAGAAAAACTTTTGAAACACGTCATTATAGATGTATTTAAATACGTATTTAAATACATCTATAATGACGTGTTTCAAAAGTTTTTCTCCCAAAGTGACTATTTAAATACATCTATAATGACGTGTTTCAAAAGTTTTTCTCCCAAAGTGACTATTCCGCAAGTTAGTGTTGCAAAAGAATTCAATTCGACATTTATTTTTTATCATTGATTCAATAATTAAATTTTTATATTAATGTTTTATGATTCTGAAAATAACATTTAATTACAATCATTTCGGTACATAAAGATGTTTAATTTTTACAATTCTATCCATTTAGCAAACAAATTTTCATAGTGGACTTCAAAACGGTAGCAAAAAAGTTTTATTTTGAAATTCAACTTGCGAAATATTTCGGAATGCGCGCTCTCGAGTCTCGAAAAGGAGAGGGTGGGAATTTTTTCATGTTACAATATTTTTTTGTTATAAAAAATTTCAGTTTATAAATTTAAATTAATCTTTTTTACAAAACTCGCATAAAAAACTATTTAATTCTAGCGTGGCTTGTGGTCAAATGCGCATTTTCTAACAGTGCATAATTTTGATTTATCATAATTTTAATAGGATTTAATATGCTGAAATAAGTTTTTTATACATTGGTGAGAAATAAGCCAAAAATTTTCGCCAAATCGAGATTTACTAGGTTGACGTTTTTTAGAGCCCGTTTACACTGAGCCGATTTCCCACCGGGTAAATTTACACTTTTTTTTTCTTAAAACAAAAAATTAAAAAAATTTCCTTTCATTTTTACCACATCACTTTAATTATCACATTGTTTAACTCAAACCATTTAAAAAATTCACGTTTAAATAAAATTAAACAACAATCAAGTTTAATCTGAACATACAAGTAAATTCAGGAGTGCCATTTTTAGCAATTATTTACATATAAACTTAATTTATTTTACGAAGTGAAGTGAAACCAAAGATATATATATATATATATATATATATATATATATATATATATATATATATATATATATATATATATATATATACATACATACATACATACATACATGCATACATACATATATACATACATATATATATATATATATATATATATATATATATATATATATATATATATATATATATATATATATATATATATATATATATATATATATATGTATATGTATATGTATATGTATATGTATATATGTATATGTATATATATATATACATATATATATATATATATATATATATATATATATATACATATATATATATATATATATATATATATATATATATATATATATATATACATATATATACATATATATAAATATATATATGCATACTTACCAAATTAAGGGTCCGTAGTTTATTTAGTATTAAGATAAATTATATTAATTCGAAATCATATAAATGCATTACTTATTATGTATTTGTAATTAAATAAATAATAATTTACGTTGTAAAGTGAAATTTTTTTTTTTATTTGTCTAACCTTATATTAAAATGTTTTCCTGATGACGTTTAAACTAATTGATTAATTACTTAAAGCGCGTGAAAATAATTTATTTTTACCATTATAATTAATTGCTAAAGTAGTAAATTACAGTGTTACAGAATCAGGGAATCAGTGACTTTGACAATTATATTCTAGATACTGTTATTCTTAAACTGTTTATGAAGTAATTATTACGTCGTAATGCTATGCCTTAGTGGTGCAACATTACAACGTAATAATTACTTCGCAAATATTACGACGAAATTTTATGCCACTAAACAAATATTGCGAAGTAACTAAGTGTAAGCTCCATAAGTTCCAATATTTTTAAACAAGGGAACTTTCTCTCCCTCTGCGACCCTCTGTCTATGTTACTGAAAAGAATTCTATATTATTGGTATGTAATATTTATTTATATCCTAAAATAAATTTAATTAAGGGGACGAACATCTAACCAAGACTCAAGAGTAGCAGTTAAAAATTTAATAAAATTATAAAAATTAATTTTTTAAATTAAAAAATATATACCTTAACCATATGGTATTTTGTTTTTTCCATTTTTGAATCAACCAATTGTTTTCTTCCAATTTCTTTTTGAGACAAACAATGGCTACTCTAAACTCTTCACGATCTTTACATATATCACTCATTTGTCTGAGCTTTAAAGAAAAAGCTATACTTACAAGTAAAGAAACTAAAATGCCTGAGCCAATAATTATAAGTGGAATTTTTGATGTCGGATTATTAAGTTTAACAGCGACAAAGACAGCAACAGTTACAACCATAGATGAAACAAAACTAAAGATACGCCAAACTAAAAAGCTAGGTAAGTTACAAGCATCATGATTAAACAACTTTTTGAAGAAACCTGTATATATTACAAGTGAAAAGTTACAAAACAACAAAACTCCAAGCACAGCATAATTATTATGAGTGATAAAAGTGGTTGCAAAAATGCAAGCTGCCTTAAAAATATTTACAATTGAATTATATATAGGTGAGAAACCTATGTCCTGTTCAGTTGCTTCAGGATCACCATACTCAACACCAAAAACAATCGAAGTTATCATAAACCATATCATAGCAGTTAAACCAAAAGCTGCATAGCTGCTATGAGATGCACTCCAGCAAATAATTGAACTATCTTGAACATGTCTTGAAACTATACATGTAGTATTCATTGATACATTGTATGGGCATATGGTATAACTACATGCAGAACATGAAGCAAAATTTTCGACAACAGTAACAAAAAGTGTATTCGCAAATAATGAAACAAGTAATCTCCAACTTGTTTTTTTCCCACATGTTCCAACAGGAAATATTTTAAGAATATTCTCAAAAATAATAGGTGCACTACATATAAAAAACCAACATATAAATAACGACAAAGTCACCCAAAAGGCTGCTTTGAATGAAATAAATCCTAACAGCAAATAACTTGAAGCAGTTTGCATTACTGTAGCCCCATACATTGGAATAAAAGTAATTTTGAACACTAAAGCCGCTGATTGTAACAGCTCTATAATTTCAAAAAGAACCACATGAATATTAAACCAGCAAAAACGAACATAATCACATGAAGGCATTTCAACCAAAAACCTTTTATTGTTATCTTTTGCTAATATTGTAACCATAATCAATAAAATAACTAGCAATAAAAACAAAAAGACACAAAAAACAATAATAACAAGTACTCCCATGCCTTTGTCTAAAAGAAATTGTGTAACATACAATGTCAATACTATTGGAAAGCACATAAAGACTGCATACATAATAATAGTTAATAAGTATGCAAAACACTTTTGGGAAACAAGCTTTTTAACAACTCCAAGTATTATATCAGCAGGCATAAATAAACCAAAAAGCAATGTGCTTATTATGAAACGTGGAGTATTCCAACTAAAAATAAATAAAACTGCACTAACTAAGTCTTTAAAAACCTGTGGAGGGTATTTTTTCACAGCTTCTCTAACTGACTTCCAACTCTTCTTTTCAATAATACAATCTAGTACTTCAATGAGCATAAAAGGTGCACGGTAAACACATAATATAACAAATAACATTTTTAATATTGTCACCAGATCGTATAAATATTCTTTTATTGTGCATACCACGATGTCAACACGATCATACCTATATTAAAAAAAAAAATTATAAAAACTGGTTTTTCATAAAGTACATACGCAGGTATGGGGAGGGGTTACTCAAAAACGTATGTGAAAAATAAATATTATATTATGTAACATAAATATGTTAAATTAAATAAAAGTTTTTGTCTTTAATGGAAAAAAAATAAGATGAATATTAAAAAAATGATGATGAGAAAAATCTTTTGCAGAAATAATAAAATTCTTTCAAAAAAGTCCAACTATATAACAAAAATATAATTTTCAAAATAAATTCATAAAGAACTAAAATAACAAACTTAAATAGCTAAAATATTACTTATTGTTTTTTTTTTAAACATCAATAGTAACATTTCAAGCACAGTTAAATCCATATTGCAGAGGTTGATTTAAACCCTGTCAGGTCCTGCAAGTGATGCGGTAAAAAAAAATAAAAAAAAAAAAAAATGGGTATTATGACATCTAACACTCACCTAATAATGACTGACAATTTTAATATTTTGTTAGAAAAAGGTTGTTTTTTTTTAAAAAAAAAAGGTTTACAGTGAAAACAAAGGTTGCAAAATTTAATTTACAAAACTTGCTAATGTAAATAATACTTTGATATAATATAATTGGAGAATATTACATCGTATATATATTATGGTCGTCTATAAATTACGCCATGTTCTACAGGGTGAAAAAGGGTTAGTGGTTTTGTACAAAACCACTAACCCTTCTTTACAACTGTGAAATAAGTCTACCATCTGAAATAGTGTTCAACATCTGTCACGACATTTAAAAAACATTCAGACCGACACAATTAGATTCAATAGAACAAAAGGTTGATAGGCTTTTTTTTATATACCTAATTATTCTATTTGTAAAATTATAACCTTAGAAAATAATAATAATAACAACATTAATAATAATAACAATATGTTATATCAAAACTCTTATAATTAAACACCAAATAATTAAAAAAATATAATGTAATTGTGATGTTATATGATAACCCTTAAATTAATTGTTTTCTCAATTTTAAAAGTGGAAATCTTATTCGTTTAAAAATAAACTCTCTTAATAAACTATACTGTGCAGCATCTACAGCAATTGGCACTTGATTGGTCACATATGTATTCTATTATATCATGATATATCAAAAGTATTCTCAAAATAGTATTTGTTTGTTAAATCATAATTATACAATATAGAGTATTTTAAATTTTAACATCAAGCATGGCTATTCAAAAAAGATTCGAAGCTGTTTTGTTAATTCAAAACATAAATGTTTAACCAATTCTGACCAAAAATTATCTTTTTTTTTAACTATTTTCTGTTTACTGAAAACAGGCCTTAACTAATTGTTAGACTATACATGGTTGTGGTGTAGTGATGCAGCACTCACCTCATAAGTGTGAAGATTCGAGTAGCAAGTAGTTCCTCATAAGCCAGTAGTTCTGATCCCCACCATGTCCCTGGTAGCTGCGCTCAAGTTGTTTTTTCACACCACAACCTTTTTCATCAAGGTTCATATTTTGGAGTTATAAAGTTGGGAGATGTAACCACGATTGAAATAAAAATACTTTTTTTTAAAATCTAAAGGTTGAGTTAGTAAAACTGGTACTTTTTATATCTTGAATTAAGGTTGAAATGAACTACAAAAAAGTTTTTTTTATTGAATGCTTATTAAGTCTATAACAAAAATTAATATTTAACGTACAATAACATTATTATTAACTACATTATAAAAAGTTAATAAATATTAAAAATAATTAATATTTATTAACGTCAATAATGTAAAAATTATTATTTATTAACATACAATAAAAAAATAATCATCATTTTATTAAAAATAATCATCAAGATATTAGGAGATTAACAAACTCAATACAATTTGGAGGATTATGTGTTCCAGGAATGAAACCAATTAACGTGGATTTGGAATAATGATTAGATGCAAAAAAATTAGGCAAAAAAATTACATTACCATTGTTGACATTTCACAGTGGCAATAAGGGCTTTTTAAAGCACTTTTTTTGATAAACTTCACTACTTATTGTAAATTAGTGACAAAATTTTGTGTTTTCAATCCACATTGACATATGGTTTGAATCTTACCTTGATATGACTATTGGCTCATTCTAGCTCAATTCAATTTATGCTTGCCACCATGCCACCTCTGATTTTGATGATTTTGGTATACAAACTTAAATAAATGAAAAAAAAGCTTTAATCCAAATTTTAATGTCTGACTCCTCATGATTTCAAAGATATTGATACTCAGTCTCAATCTCTTTTTTTTTTTTTCTTTTTTAGTGCAATTTAATTTTTAAGCTAATTACATAACACTATTAGTTTTAACTTATGAAATACTTGCTCAATAGTGTTGAAAAACTCTACCTAACTATTTTTTAGGGAGAGGAACTCAAAAATAATACCTAAGACAATGAAAAAATAAAGTCTCTATATGAAAATTCAATTTTAAAATAGTGTAACACTTTTTATAAGCTGATGTCCCATAGTAAAATAAGTTTTAAGTTTTTTAAAGTACAAAAACATCTTTTTGTACTTTAAGAGATAAAGATATGATTTAGAAATTTTTTCCTATAATTCTATATATAACAAACTCCTTATTACAAATAAACTGCAAGAGTTTTTTTATTTGAGTTTATTGTAATATATATACTAGATTTTTTTTCTCACTGAAGCAGTAATTATCACTCATGTTTTTAAGGGGATGTAAAGAAATTAATTTAAAACTTGCTGGGAAATGAAAAAGCATTGGTAATTATGTTATTCCTGAAAAAAAGATACATCCACCATGTAAAATTAAATTTTAAAGATGAAGGACCAGGAGAACCAATTTGCAGCCAGATTTATGAAGACAAAGATAATGAACTTGTTATAAACAAATTGTTAAAAGAAAATCTCAATTTTTCTGACATGGATTTACTTGTAGGAAAAATTGAAGGAAAATTCTTAGTCTCCAATAGGAATTAGAAAATTCAATTACTAACCCTGGTTCCAATATCTTGGTCTAACAAATGTATAGAAAGAGAATATAAAGTTACTGATTATATAGCACAGATACCACACAAACTGCTGCAGAGAAATGGTATTTTATCTTTACCTGAAAAAAAAAGAAAAGAAAATATCTCAAGAGACTGAACAAATTATAAAATTATTGAATTTTATTGTCATTATAAAAATAGCAGGCAAATGTCTGGTAAAAAAGATTTTAAGAGTATAGCTTGAAAACCTTTTATGCAAACACATTTGATTCTCTCAAATCTAAAAGAACTGTATACTAAGTTTAAAACCAGTTATCCTGATATAAAGATTTTGTAATGAAATGTAAAAGGTCTTTCTTTGCAACAAATCATGGTAAATCACCTTTTGGTGGTATTGGTGGGACTGTAAAAAGATAAACTTCAATTGCTAGCCTTTATTGAATAAATAATTAATCATATACTTGCAGCGTCTATAATGTTTTATTTTGAAATCATAGGAATTAGTTTTTATTAAATATCTGAGGAGTCAAACATGATAATCCAAACTGAAACAGAGCAAAGATATGCAACTGCAAAAATGTTACCAGGTACTCACAGCTATCACAATTTCATTCCGAAAAGTAACACAAAAATTAGAACTAAAGTTATTTCTTAACAATTAGAGTATTCATTTGCTTTTAATTTTCAAACCTTGATTAACTTGAGATTATTAAAGAATGCTTGTTTAATATAACTAATGGAGTGCTTGTATGTTTGATATATGATAACAATCTATGGGTTAGACTAATTGAGGATATTGATGTTGAAAATAAAGACTTTTAAGTTAGATGCATTCATTTTACCCTTAAAGGTCATATTGTTGTGCGTCTAGAAATGTGTGCTGGGTTCCATCAACAAACTTATTGTTAATGATTAATATTCCAACAACTGTCACAGGAAGACAATACAAAATTAAATGATCACTTAAGCATTGAAGAAAGCTGGGCAAACTTTAAACCAGAGAACTAAAATTTTATAAAACTGTTAAAGATTGTTAATTCTTATTGCCTCATTTTAATTTTTCTTATTGCCTTATTTTAATTTTTCTTATTACAATTTAATTATTTCTATGGTTTATTTTTGTGATTTTTTGGGCTTAGTATTATAAAACTTTAAATGCAAATAAATCTGATTTAAAAAAGAAAACCTTTGCAGTTTTTTTTTTTTGTATAATGGCATTTTTTACATATAGACAGGAAAAAATTTTAGAATCATATATTTTAGGCATCTCAAGATTAAATTTTTTTTTGTATGGGGCATCAAAAAACTTACAAAAAGTGTTACACCATTTTGATATTAAATTTTCATAGAGAAGCTTTATTTTTTAATGTTTTAGCCATCATTTTTAAGTTCAAGTGTTTCATAAGCTAGTTGTGTTAAGCAATCAGCTTAAAAAATAAATGGCATTGAAAAAAACATTAAAAAAAAATTGGGACTGAGTACCGATATCTCTGAAACTATTTGGAGTCAGACATTTAAATTTGGAGTAAAGTTTTCATTCATTTTAGTTTAAGTTTTCATTAAAGTTTTCTTTGGAGTAAATTTTTTTTTAATTTAAGCTTATATTCCAAAAATCATAAAAATTCGAAATGAATCAAATATTTGCCAAGCACGCACTTTGATTCTAGAACTAATGACAAAAATAAAAAGAGTTTAAGGACATGTCTCTGGAATACTTTTTTAAAATCTCAGAAAGCATGCTGAAACAAGCTGAAAATGACTAAATAAATAATTCTTAAAAACTAATAATTGCAGTACTGTTACCTCTTGATTTTAAAAAAAAGTCAGATATCCACAATATTTAAAATTGACAGTGTTTGTTGAATTTATTCCACATCAAATTACCCAAAATTTAGGAAATTTAAACCTCCCCATATTTTTTTCAAACTTCTTAGGCTGTTGCATATTAAAAAAAAAATTTACCACAAAATATTTTGTTTGAAAATGTTAAAGTTCCCGAGATATTTTTCTAAAC